GGGAAGTTCAAACCATTCCCTTGTAAGCCGAAGTGCGCCCGTGGTTCTATTATAAATCTTTCTGAAAACTGTAGTCATGCTAATTACACCAAAGTCGGACCATTTCGGGGTTCTGAAATAAACGCTATGGATCAGAAATTAAATCAGAAGAGCCAAAATACTCCAAACCCCTAAAGACATATTCCACGCAGCGTTCACCACAGCCACGCTCCCACCACATTCCTTACACCGGAATACCCCCCCCTTTTTTTTTACACACTTCCTACCTAACACTACCCAAGGTTTTTTCAGTTTAATGCCACTTCACCATCTCAAAATTTTTTCATTTTTCCAAAAAATTCTGCAATCTTTTCCAAAAACTAGCGTGCAGCAGAGGAGTGGGAGGGGGAGCAAGCACGGTCCTATCCCCCTGATAAGGTTCTTTTAGCGATGCTGTATCCTGACGACTACCCGACGGAAAGAATCGTTTTCATCTACAGGCGGTCCGGTCCGTCCGCAACCTACTCTGTCCCACTACCGCTGCTTGACATTTTCCAAGGATTTGACGATGAACGGGAGTGGGAGGGGTGGGTGTGGCGGGCCGAAAACAAAAAAATCGACTATGGGAAAAACTTCGCTCGTACTCAATACGCTCCTCCTCCTACGCGTCGGCCAAATAGGTTGTTCCGCGTTGTATGGAACGACAATTACATATGTTCCCTGGGTGCGCCACCTTATAAGGCCCTCACCTAGCTGAAGGCAAGATGTACCAATCATCTAATTCTATGAGTGTGACACGTCGTGTTCATTCCATAAGACTGAACTGTTTATCTCACTTGTCTTCTTGCTCTCAAATCCCAAGTCCAAGTAACTGTGAACGCAGAATAATAAGGTGCAGGAACAAGCCGATTTCCGGCTACGTCCAAGAAGGTACATCCACTCTGACACTGTGGCCCTCATAAGTGGCATTTCTTATGCCTTTCTAATGTTGTCCCGCTCACCCGAATTCTCACAAGTTCTATTTTAGACCACGTTTTCCGTATGATATAGCTTTGCAAATATAAAACGAGCTGGTCCGGAAAACTCGTCCAAAGGGGCCACCAGGTCACATGGAATGTTCGCTACAGTTTTTTCTGCTTTTTCTTCTCTAAAGAGTTGTTTGGCAGTGATAGATTTGTTAGTGAGCGCTGCTATAAACAATATGCAATCATGCGACTTGTCTTTCAGCATACTTGAAGCACACCTAGGCAGCGTTCATACTTCGCGACGTCAGCGTCTTTCAGCATACTTGAAGCACACCTAGGCAGCGTTCATACTTCGCGACGGCAGCGCTGCGGTCGCGCATTTGATTCGGTCGATGCGCATCCTTTCGACCTTCGGTCGATCGTAACGAACGCGCGATTGAAGCGCTGCCGTCGCGAAGTCTAAACGCTGCCTTAGAGAAACAGAAACCTGCACAACATGGCAAATGGTGTCATTTAAAATAGGTTAAAATTGTTCGAGTAACGACAATGAATTATGGTGAATTACGAGAGCCGTTCAAAGTATTCTCGGTATCGGAGCAATTCAGCAGTGATGAAGGAATTTAAATCATTTTAATAGGTAACGACCCCTACCCCCTTCCAGTGGTCCCAGTGAGTATAAATACAAAATTTCATTCAGTTATCCTTGGTGAAAGAAGATCAGAATGACTGATGCGACAATGTTGAGAAAATGATTACTGATTGAAAAAAATTGAGAAAAATGAAAAGAAAATTGAGAAATGATTAGTGATTACTTCTT